AGTGCCTGGTTTTCTCCACACCTACCACTTAGAATTAAGGCCAAAAAGTTCTATCTTGGTCTCATCAGACCAGAGAATCTTATTTCTCACCATCTTGGAGTCCTTCAGGTGTTTTTTAGCAAACTCCATGCAGGTATAACTGACGATCTGGGCAGGTGTCTTGCACTGAGGAGAGGCTTCCGTCGGGGCACTCTGCCCTAAAGCCCCGACTGGTGGAGGGCTGCAGTGATGGTTGACTTTTTACAACTTTCTCCCATCTCCCGACTGCATCTCTGGAGCTCAGCCACAGTCATCTTTGGGTTCTTCTGTACCTCTCTCACCAAGGCTCTTCTCCCCTGATAGCTCAGTTTGGCCGGACGGCCAGCTCTAGGAAGGGTTCTGGTCGTCCCAAACGTTTTCCATTTAAGGATTATGGAGGCCACTGTGCTCTTAGGCACCTTAAGTGCAGCAGAAATTTTTTTGTAACCTTTGCCAGATCTGTGCCTTGCCACAATTCTGTCTCTGAGCTCTTCAGGCAGTTCCTTTGACTTCATGATTCTCATTTGCTCTGACATGCACTGTGAGCTGTAGGGTCTTATATAGACAGGTGTGTGGCTTTTCCTAATCACGTCCAATCAGTATAATCAGACACAGCTGGACTCAAATGAAGGTGTAGAACCATCTCAGGGATGATCAGAAGAAATGGACAGCACCTAAGTTAAATATGAGTGTCACAGCAAAGGGTCTGAATACTTATGGCCATGTGATATTTCAGTTTTTCTTTTTTAATAAATCTGCAAAAATGTCAAAAATTCTGTGTTTTTCTGTCAATATGGGTTGCTGGGTGTACATTAATGAGGAAAAAAATGAACTTAAATGATTTTAGCATATGGCTGCAATATAACAGAGTGAAAAATTTAAGGGGGTCTGAATACTTTCCGTACCCACTGTAACAAAGTAAAATATGGAGAAGTGTATGTGATTAAATATGTTTACTGCCTAAGCTGTTGTCCAAAGATGTGTGTGTGTGTGTGTGTGTGTGTGCGTCTGTGTGTGTCTACAGGTAGCGACTCAGTTGTACCACCCCCCAGAGCTACCGTGTCTTGGTCACATCCGGATAAATGTCTCTGCCATCGGAGAAGATGGTCTTATTTACGTTAGAACACAGAATGCAGGTGCACGTTAGAGCACACTCTCACACAGCTAATGCTATGAATATCATATTTTAAATGCTGGGTACTTTTATTATAGAAACAAATTCGCCTCAAAAGCCTTTATAAAACTTGCACATTATGTAGTAGCTGTGAAAATATGTGAAGCAGGAAAAAGTATGTGTAAAGCAGGTTGATGTTTCTTAGAAGCTTGTGACAGAAGCTGACATTTTCCTGAAATGATCAGATATTCATAGAGCTTGACAGTGTTCACTGTTTGAATTGGGCTGCAAATGTATTAAACAGAAATTAAAAATGGCAAGCTAGTTCTTCGGGTGCTGCGGTTTCTTCCCACAGTCCAAAGACATGCACGTTAGGTTGATTGGTGACTCTAAATTTTGACTTCATCCTGAAAGGCATCTAGCATAAAACATGCCAAGTTTTAGCATGCGAATTGTCAGTTGGGTGGCAACTGAGGATTTGTGGTGACGACCCCTAATGGGAGAGCTGAAAGTAAGAGAAGAAAAATGGCTAGCTAGTGACAAATCTCAACTGAAATCTTTGCACTTGACTGAAAGGGGCCAAACAGACTTGTATCTGCTCTAAAATCAGTGCAAAGAATAATGTTTTTTATTTATTTATTTTTTTAATCATGTTTACCTTTGACTTTTCTTGTCTGTGTCAGTGAGTCAGCTGGAGCAGCTTAGGGTGAGGATTCAGCAGAACTTGAAGACGCTGCCCAGGCCGAAGCCCTACACCTGGAAGTCGGTCCTCGGCTGTGCTGTCATCGGACCTGACATGTTGTGGTACCGAGGACAGGTGCTGGAGGTGCTGGGAGGACACGTCAAGGTTTGGAAAACACAGCACTCATCACCAGGAGCAACTGGGGGTTCAGTGTCTTGCTCAAAGACACTTTGACATGTTGACTGGACAAGCTGGGAATCGCACTGCTAATCCTCCTCCTCCTTCACTGCTTGTGTTTTTGAGTCCTTTGTGGCAGCCTTCAGAAGCTACAGGCTAAACTGGGAACCTTTAGGACATATGAACTCTAAAAGACTCAATATAAACAGACTTGAAAGACCCACTAGTCTAGTAACGTTACGGCTTCAAACAATTCATAATGCAACATTCTGTAAAAGTCCGTAGTTGCACCAATACTCTAGCCATTCAGAAAGAATATCTGATGTTGTGAACGCAATTGTCTGGTCCTGAAATATAAGACGACATCCACATTTTCAATAACATTGTGCAGAAAACCATAGGTGCTGCACAAAAACAAATGGGTGTCTGTCATATAATGCTAGGGAAAACCTTGGTCAGATATTTCATGTATTAGCAAGTGTGTAAAACCTGGATATTCTGTATATCTGACACTTAGGTGGGGGGGGGGGGGGGGGGTGGTATCTAACAGCATGTTCTAAACTGCATAGTCATGTTTTGGTAATGTATGTGTGTTACCAGGTACAGTATGTGGACTATGGCCTGGTGGAGAACATCCCTGTGGTCCATGTGTATCCCAGGCTGCTGTGTGACGATATTCCTCAACTCTGTATGCCCTGCCAGCTGCATAGCATCAACCCTGTAAGAGTTTGTGTGTGTGTGTGTGTGTGTGTGTCTGTGTGTGTTCTGTATCCATTATTTTAAAAAAAATGAACAAAAAAGTCAAAGAAATCTCAGTTCAAGGGTTTGTACAGCATAGCTAATGCATCATTAGCAACGTACATCAGTCTGACATTACTCTGTGCTCAGCTCAGATGTGCGCTGCCATTAAATGATCAGTGCTGGACAACCTGCAAGCTAGTCAATAAAGGAAAATGTAAGAAAAGGATAACTTTGTGATATAGTGATACTTTCGAAAGAAAATATCAGGAAGCAAATAAGCACTAGAAAAGGCTATTACACTCTACAGAAAGGTGCGTATCAGTTTGAGCCGCTGTATACTGAGGAGGAAATGAAGCTGAGGTGAGTATAGAAGGCAAAGAGAAGGACAAGAAGACAACACTGCCTCTACATCGACTGAAGCAGTGGTGGGCTCTGTCAACAGATAACAGCTGCCGTGTAGTAGTAATTTGGCTTAGATATGCACACCTGCTGGTATGGTCTGACGTAAAGCCAAACCACAGAAGGAATCTGTTGGTGTAAACATTTCATTTAATGAGGCAGCTGATTTTTCGTGGATCATAGTAAATCCTTATAGCATGTTCTTTTTTTCCTCACAGTCGATTTGTCTCCGCAGGTTGGCGGTAAGTGGCAGCCTGATGCAGTGGTCTTCCTGAGGGAGATGTTGCTGGACCGCTGTGTGGACATGCAAGTTACGGTAAAATTACATGTTCTATCATCACCTGGATGAAAGCACTGTATAAATATAAACAGGAATTGACTACATGTAAAGCTGGAGATATTGGCTATAGCTACATCAGACTGAAAGATGAGTAGATGAATCTAGAAAATTGACAGAATAATTGAAAATGAAAGTTGTCATTAGTTGCAGCATTGGTGGCTTTAGTCGTTAAATACTTGACCCCTTTGTGCCCCCTTGTGTATGTGTGGTAGGAGTTGCCGAGCAACCGGAGGGGACCGCTCACGGTCGAGCTCTTCCTGGATGGAATGAGCGTCAGCAGAATTCTGTGCCACCACAGACACGCCACCATGGACCGAACCTTCTCAACACTGAAGGTCTGTGTGCATTTGTGTTGGTTGTTGTCCGTTTCCGCAGATGGAGCAGTGTTGTCATAATTTACTAAGGATTGTTTCTCTGCAGGAAAACCCGGTGATTCCTTCTCCACCCCTCCTGGATGTCTGGGACATTGACACTGAGGTATTTTATTCAGAATGAAGATTGGGAAAGTGATTTAAAAACAGCCACAACTCACTTTAACTTAAACCACATTTATAGCTCTAAGTAAGTCCCTGTAATATGAAAGCGGATACTAGTAGAGCTGAAGTTACTGAGAACAGCCAACTGAGCAGCATCTTGCAACTGGTTTCTTGTTGTTTTGGTTTTTTGACTGTAAACGAGTCTTGCCAACCTCCCCATGCACATTAAAACATTATGTAGCAGTCTCCCACGAACAGGTTCAGAATGTCTGAATATTTGTTACCTGCCTAGTGAGAAATGGCAGAGAACTGAAGTAAACAAGTAGGCAAGGGTCTCTGTCTTCTGCCCAACCAACTGTGGTGCAGTTTTTGTTCTGGTATGAAAGCAAACAGTCATTGTTTTTTGTTTATAGCAGATAATTTTAACACAACTCAAAACACTAAACTAATAAAATAATCTGGTCCTTGTGACCTCTTCACAAAGCATATGTATTGCTCTGTATATATTGAGTCATTTAGTAATCATGGTAATATGTCAGCACAAGTGTTGGGATTTTTCCATTAAAAAGTGTGTGACATATTGATCTATCAGTAATACTCCCTGGAATAGTACTGCTGTGCTCCGTGACACCCTGTCAGTGACTGGAGCTTGGTTTCTGCACATGTGAACACAAACTGAACCTAGACTAAAATCTTACAATTTTGTGTGTGTGTGTGTATGTATATATATATTATATATATAATATCCCCACTTGCCCCACTTCGGGGCAGTCAACTTCAGCCAAAGCTTGCCTCCTGAAATGTCTAAGGCTCTAGACTGATGCTGTGTTTTCAGGGTCTGAAGGACACTGCGGAGCCGATCCTGGGCCCCTTTGTCAGCACAAACCTGCCGCAGGGCAGAGTGGAGTTTCCTGTCAGGGTAAAGCACCTGTTGACCCCCAACGAGGTGACTATCAACCACAGAGAGAACATTAAAGACGATTCTTATGTACATGCAGTAGTACCAATGAACCCACTAGGTAGGTACTAATGACAGGATACTGTTCACGTTGTCGGAGGTGAACTTAGTGAGAAGAAAGCAGATGGTTTAGTAAAGGATAGATTTTGTAAAAAATATTCAAGCATGAATGATAAGGTCCAAATGGCTATGGCTTCCTGTGCTAAACTGTTACTGGTTCCTTTGGGCTCAGTTTGGATGTAGAACAGGGTAGTGAGGTATCATTTCACTAGGTTGTGTCAAACTCAGTTCACTGGATCATCTGAGAACAAGTGGCACAGTGTTCTACACCTCTCTGCCCTGCAACCAGTCAGCTGTTTTCTGTAGTCTGTCGTTCACTCTTAATAAATGAAGCTGAACTGGTTTTGAGACTTTATAACAAATGCTGTTGTCACAAAGAGATCAATCTTTGTCTTGCAGTTGTTCCTGTGGTCTCTGGAGGAAACGGCAGATGTGAAAGTGAATGGAGAGACTCTGGCCGAAGCTCTGGCCAGAATCAATGCAAATATCCACAGTCTGCCAAAACTCACCAACTTCCCCCCTGGTAACCTTTCATTATGCTCACTGCTCTTGTGGTTCCAGGAACAGATGGGACTCTTCAGAAAGATTTAACACTTAGTTTCCATCATATTAGCATTAGCTGGTCATTTGACAGGTCAAATCGTCTGGCAACCTTGAAAAAGTACAGCAAATGTTCAGACGTCCAAACAACAGGTAACCGGTACATGATGAGGATTCGTTTGCAATCACAGACTCCTATAGTCATGTAATGGCATAAAGTTTGTATTGTGAAGAGAAATCCTGAGGAAGTCCATAAGTACATATTAACATATTCCAACCTGAGTAGCTGCTACTTGCAGACAGCTGACACAAACTCTGCATCACAGATGCTCCTGTGCACAGTTCAGACCCAACTTTCTGCTTGTGGTTTCCAGGCTGTCCATGTCTGGCAGAGTACAGTGATGGGACGTACTACCGGGCCAAGCTGATCAAGATTACCAGTGTGGAGCCTGTCAGGATCCTGGTCCAGCATGTTGACTTTGGCTCTGACGACACTTTACCGCCCAGCAAGTATGAACCTTACACACCGCTATTCAAATAATAGACGGAGCTGAACTACTTTCATTTACACTTAAGAACAACTGGGGCTGCTTTCCACCCTACTGTATATGTAGCGGGGGGATGCCCCTCCTCTGGACACCAGCCACAACTAGCTGGCGTAATGGAATCGTATCCCAAAGTGACACAGAGAGCAAAGCAACAAGTTTTAAACAAAGAATACAAACTAGAGGTGGTGTGTAGATAACAAGAATTAAACTTATATATGTGAAGGATGTGGCTGTTACACAGATTTTTGAATAACTTCTTGTGAAGGGAATTATGTTGATGTTTATATGGAGAAGTGAAAGGTAGATGCTCTCAGTAATTGTTTTTGGTGTTGCTACAGATATACTCTGTGTATCTCACTCCCTGTCAGGTTGCGTCAGATCCCTGCTGAGCTGATGCAGTTTCCAACGAAGGCGCTCAAGGTCAGAGTTGCTGGCTTTAAGGCTCCGAGTGACCAGAGGGATGAAGATGTGTTGCCCTACAGCCCCGCGTGGAGCCTCAACGCTGTAATAGATATGATTGACCTATTACACGGCAACATCACAGCCTCTGTTGTGGTAAGAAACACACAGTGTGACAGATTTTCATGTGGATGGGACCTAGTGAGTCATGGCATCTTCGGTGATATTTACAGTTCAGTTATTACTGTTTATCAGAGGTGTACACATAAGCCTGTTTACGGCTTATCCATAAATGCTCCACACACCAATCTTGGCAGAACTAGTTTCAGGTCCTGTGTTGCTAGAGGTGATTGAAGAAAGTATCCATGTCAGAGCCTGAAGCCTTGTTGAAAGCATGAGGAGCTGGCAGACTCTGAACAAAGCAGAAAGCTCGCACGGAGATCTCGCACATGTACAGTTGACTTCCTTACGTCAGACACTGTAAAAAGTTATGGTTGTTTGGAGCTTTGGGGGCAACATTTTTAACATATATTCAGGTCTGGTGTTTTGTAAGAAACGTCACCCAGTGCAGTGACGTGTTTCATGGATGTGTTTTTAGTTTTTAAACGATGGATGTTTATGGTACAGACCATAAACTAGCTTTCTCTGTGCTGTCTAGTTCTACATTGTTTCTATGTGGTGTACTACATGTTGTCATGCTTGTTTCATATGAATACAAACCTAACAAAACAGTTATGGCTATAAATAAATACAGAGCCAAAGAAGACTCGACATCAGAGCCTGCACTTTTAAATTTCCAGTGCTTCAACACACTTCTACCAGTCAAGAAGGTGCTGGATGCAAAAAGTAGTGACTTGAAAGATGTCAAAGCACCTGCATACTCGCACTTCTATTGCAAACAGTCTGTCTAATGTTTTGGTTTCAGGCTTTTGTCAGAGCATAAGAAATGATTTCTTTGCATCAGTGTCATAACTGCCTGTTTGTGTTCCTCTTGTCTGTTCAGGCACGAGAGCCCGAGCTCACAGTGCAACTGTACAACGAGGATGGAGAGTTGGTGCATCTGCCCCTGGTGCACCGTGGACTGGCTGAGCTCGAATAAAGCAGATTTGGAGACGGCCTCCTTGACAGGAAGAAAAAAAAAAAAATTTCCTGTACACAACTTCTTAGGTTTAGGTGTCTGTAAAATCTTGTGCTATTTTGCCAGTAGTGTTGACTATAAACCACTGGACAGTATTTTGAGTTGTGGAGCTTGAACAAAATTGGATTCATATAAAATAACTCTAATAAGTAAATGTAAATTGATAGTTGGTTATGATGAAACAAGCAGAACATCTACTGGCTCTTTTAGACGTAAAATACCAGTCTGACTTATTGGAGCTGCTCCTCTTTATGCATGTTTTACTCACTGATGTCCTGTTTTGACATAATCTTGATTTGATTTTGTTCACCGCTGTTCTTTTAGCGTACATGGTTAGCGGCTGTGCTGAAAAAGTTCAGAAAATTACTAGTCTTTACTTTCACCGTATTCCAGTTCAGCACTGACTTTATATTTTATTGTTCTGCCTATGTTCATGTGGCTCTTTATCTGTAGGGTACAGATTAAAGTCTTCCAGTGCTGTTTAACATCTCTGCAGTGTGTTCTTTGTAAATGAATACAATAAAGAGAAAGCTTTTCTCAATAAGATGGACAGAGGAGACAGACTTGCACCTGGACAACAATTAGCATTACTTCTGCATGAAAAAATAATTTATTTTTCAAAGATATACAGGCAAATATGAAAATGTTTAAAATTTTACATATTAATACTTGCAAATATGTCACAGTTCTTCAGGTTCCTGTACAGGCTTCATTTTTCCAAGGTTATTTCTGAATGTGCATACAGGCAAGATATTCTCAAACATTAAGGTGCCATGTTCATGGTTTTTTTATTTTTTTGCAAAGTTCCTGTTTACAAACTTGTGATATCCAAGATCTAACAAAAGGTGAGTGCATTTTCTTCAAAATAGTTGCAGAGCTTTTTTTCGTGTGACGCTGCTGCTGCTCATTTCACACCACTGCACCGATCAACAACTGGCAGCGGTAACGTGCAAAGAAATGTAGTTGTGTGACAAAGGCAATGCAGCATAGTGGGGTAGACGCATTCACTTGTAGTGTTGCCTCAGATTTGGGCAGTTAAAGGATGAAAATTAAGAGTGTGACATCTTGGCACCTTTTCACTCACTAGTTGGGAGTCAGATGAGTTAACTGGCTACAGCCAGCAGCTGCTTGGCTTAACATAATACAGCCTTCTCATCTCTTTCCCAAAGTGTCAAACGTTTCCTTTGAGACAAGCTGAAAATAGAAGAGCACTCAATCCCAGCTAGCTGACCTCTGACCTCCCTGTGAAGGAGGGGAGTAAGAAAGATATTTAAAAAAAAAAGTCTGGTTTGTTTGGGAATTGGTTACACAGACGTGCACAATAGTTTCATTTGTTGAGAGAGAGTGGTTCTAGGCTGTTATCCAGAGTGATGTTGCCATCTTTGTCTTTGATCCTGAGTTGTCCATTGGGGTAGCGGGTTTCCTGTCTGCCGTCATTATACACCGTCTTCACAGTGCCATCTGGATACTCCCTCCTCTTGTAGTCGGCCGTGTGGATCTCTTTCTGTCCTGTGTTGAAATGGATCTCCTTGGTGCCGTCCCTTAGGGAAAGGAAGTACATTTACACCCAGTTAGTGGTCACTTAAAGGTGGAAGTAGAGACTTAAAGGGAAACCAACTCTCATCACTGAATCACAAATTAGAGCGCGAGTGTTAAAAGTGTGATGGTCATCTTCCACAGCATTTGTCATGTCAGCATAAATGGACTACAGAGCCTGGACATTATCATTGCCTGTAAACTCTGGGGCTCCATCCTGATTTTTGATGACTATAAGCACAACCTTTGCAGTTGAGGGTAAAAAAAAAAAAAAAATTGTTCTATTTAGTTAAAATCTGAAAAAAAAAAAAGCAACTACAGCTGCAGTAGAGCAGACAATATTGTACTTCAGTGCCATAGTTGTGTGTGTGTGTGTGTGCCAAAACTGGACAACAGTGAGCACCTTTAAGCAAAATGTGTAATGTTTCCTCAATGCCTGATGTGCAGTTTTCACCAGAGACTTTTGGTAGAATTAGAACATACAACAACAACAACAACAACAACAGAAGGCAGGTCGATTAGTAGGGTGGTGTGTTTTACTTACGGGTTGACCTGTATGATGGTCCCATCTGTCAACACGCTCTCCTCCCTGCCATCGGGGAACAAGCTCTTCACCGTCTGGTCCGGGAACGTGATTTCCTTGCGGCCGTCTGGGAAATGTTTTTCTGGAGCAGAAATGGAAAAAACTTGTATCTGCAGACAAACTTGGGCGGCTTTTGCCTGGTGGTAATTTCACTGCTTTGATACTGAATAAACATCTGCTTTCACCAGTCTGGTTGTTGGGAAAGTGCAGAACCTCCATCCCGTCTGGGTAGGTGATGTGTATCGTCTGGGCATCAGCATAGTAGTAGATCTGAGCACAAGGGGCAGAGAGAAAGCGATGAATTCAGATGGCACAGGTTCAAATCACTGTTTGTCTGGAAGGATTGCATGACTCGTTTTTACTGACATCCGTCTCTTTCCTGCTTGGCTTCTAATTAAATGTGAGGTCTCACCACTCTCTGGTCGGCTGTGATCTGTTTGGTGTCTCCGTTGAAGAAAGTGACCTTGACCATCAGTCCATCTGCTGAAACCTCCTTCGTGGTCCCGTTGGGGAAGATGGTGAGGCGTTCGCCACTGGCCAGAACTTTCTCTATCTGGAAGGATCAGAGCCAAAACTCCATAAGAAACATCCATTTCAGGTCATGAACAAACTAACTGCAAAACAGATTCTTTCTTTGCAACTACAATTAGTATTTCATCAAAGCCTGCAACAGAAGCAGCTCTTCTCAGATCAACTTGAAAACAAAGACTTGGCTCCAAACAGGAGTTAACTTACACTGGTCTGAGGGCTTTTATCAAGGAGTACAGTTCTCAAGATTTTATTGTCTGGTGATTTACAAAATGACACATCAAGCCCAATTTTGAGGATCCTCCACATCTGATCAACATGTATTGGCGCAAGTGGTGTTTGGGTGTGTTGAGAACGAGGAAAAATGGTTCAAGTGCCCATGCAAGTAGCAAAAGGGTTGTACTTACTCTCATTTAAGCAGAGATGTGGTTTGGCTGTAACATGAAATTATCCAATCAGTGTGTAACCTCACATCCACTATAAGAGACGTGCAAGTTTGAACATTTGGCGGACAGCTAGCATACTGGTGGACTTGCAGGTCAGAAGTCGGTAAGATTTTCCACTGAGGAAATGGATCTGCTTGTGTGTGAGGTGAAGGCGTACGATCACCAATCAAAGTGGTATATGTGCGTGTGTGTACATGTACACACACAGATCAGGTACAACATTATGAACACAACATTCTGACTTTAAACTCAGAAATATGGGTACTTGTAAGGATCCAAGTTCAGTGAGTGAGAGAGTGCCTTTGAGTCATGCTGGAGAGGAGCTACGTGCTGCCCAAAAAGGGGTTTGAGGAAGCTATTTCATTAATGGAAGAGGAAAAGGTGAGTGAAAGAGATGTATATGTTAGTTTTTCACTGAACTATAGACACATCTGTGCTCTTCCTGACAGTAGAACTGTGGAAGCAAATGGATTCACAGAGGATGCTCAGTGAGCTGCAGAGTGACAGGAGTGTCAACCAACTACCACACTGACTCCTATGTAGACAGTATTAGGCAGGTGGTCATAATGTTATGGCTGATCAGTGTATATACTGTACATGTGCACAGCACCCAATGAGCACTGTCATCATTTTATTTAAGTTCTGCATGTCCTGAGCAGTGCATCCCATGGTATAACAAGCACAGTACATGAGCACTGCACACCTAGGCAGGCGCGCATCACAACGCAGTCAAAGCAGCCATTAACTGACTAATGATTAATGACTGTTGACCACAGTCACTTTGTACGCCCTCATACTACTAACCTGCCCAGAATTTACCTGGACACACCCTTTTTCATCCAGTCACACCTGCTGGTGCAAAGTTGACAGACTGCTGCTTGGTAAAAAGGCAGCGTGATGCGCACGTCATGAAAACAGTAATTGCACAGGTAGGAAATTAGGAAACATAGACGTGCTACCCGCGCTGCACCATGCGTTGTTGCAAGATAGGGCCCATCATTTCATGTTCTCACCTTCCCATCGGGGTGTGTGATGACCTCCTGAGCTGACTCTGGCTTTTCGGCCTCACTGCGCTCTGCTCCTGTTGGCAGAGGTTCTCTATTCTACAATGAGAACAATGCAAAAACAAAAATTTCTTAAACATGGGCATAGTAACTAAGCCCTGTGATAGACAAACACAATGTATATTTATTGGTTTTTTGACCATGTGTAATTGTGCTGTCCCTGTTATGTAAACAAATGAATAAACCATTAACAGATTTCACAATTATTTTAAATAGGATGGACAGCGACTAATCAGTTTTCCACTGTTGGTATCTGTCAGTAAATGTGCTGCAGCATTCCACAGCTCCAGCACTGATGACATTTCTCACCGGGCAGCAGGTGTTTGATTGGATCTGGCTCTTGCTGGCAGGTGCTGACCTCTCCTCTGTGGTCCTGCTACTCAGTGGAGAGGGGGATGAGGAGGAGGAGCTTGACCCTGCTGGCTTCCTCAGACTGCTCTTCATTCCTGTTGGTATTTGACACAAGACAGAAATCTGGAAACAAATCTCGGCCATTCTCAAAAATAAAATGTTGGTTCACTCATAAAGCCTTTTATACTGCGAGTTTATTAAAATGACTGTGGAAACTAAACTGCAGTTAGAAGGTTACAACCAATGATTTTTGCAGGCTCTGGGTTTTTCTGAGACTTGCTTTTCATGTTTTGTGCTCGAGTATAAATGGTGACTCTGCAATATCAGAAACACGGAAATCAAGGAAAACCTTTCTCTAAGTCAGCTTTACTGTCCACAAACATGAAAGTAAGTGTCTCTATGGCTCTGGCCTGTCAGGCAAATTTCAACCTGCAGTAACTGATTGTTTTTGGCCACTTGTTGTCAGTGGAAACATGCTGTGAATACAACACTAACATCACAGTTTAAACTGATATTTTGAATATCTCACAGATCCAGAAACATTATTCATTTGGAGATGAATTTAATTTCAGTCACTCTCCTTTAACTTGTTTTAGTTGAAAGCTGATGTAAACCTTCATAGAGCTGAGCAAAGCTGCAGACTGGGGTGATACATTTCTATTGGTTCATCACTATATAAAAGTAGTCATTCAGTACTTAAGTCTGGAAAAAATAAACTACAGAGCCAGAACTGATGTGTAGGAAATCTTAATTTGCGGTGGTAAAAATCTCCCCCTGAATGGAAGCTCTTCACTACCTGTAGCAGGCTGACTACTTGTGGCCATAGCAGTGCTGCTCTGAGGAGGGCTGCTGCTGCTACCTCTGCACTCTGGAGGACTCTGGAAACAAAAACAGAACTAGTGATTTCAATGTTATTCCAAGATGTGAAAAACATCTCAAGAGGTTTTCAGAGGTCCTCGTGTCTGGAAATAGAAATGGAATTTGATCAATGAAAGATCTGGGGATTATCGAAGCACAGTGCATGAAAATTGTTAATTTGGCTTATTTACATGGCTGTTAAATGTCACTTTATATCTGAAGAACACAAAATTCAGTGTGTTATGGACCCATAATTTTTCCAACACTGTCCCAGTCAAACATTTAAAATGTTTAATTTGATTTTATTACAATCAAAAAATTAAGGTCTGAGCAAAGTGTCAGGTTGTTTTCATAATCATACAATTGAACAATCCTAGACACTCACAGATGTTTATTAGACCAACATTCCAGAGAATGAATACAATCAATAGAACGATAGTGTAAATAATGCTTACAGCAAATCTCACTCCTTTGGTCACAGCTGACACGTTATCAAACAGTCTGGGACTGTCTGTCATTTCTTTGTCATTCTCTGCACTGAAAGGGTTTTTCTTCCAGACACTGAGGCGCAGCTTTTCCAACATATGGATCTGAAGATAACAGAAAAAGTCAGAACATGAGACAAAACTTAAAAACATAGCATGGCTGCAGCTACAACTAAATCATGATTGTCTGTTACTTATCGCACAAAGGAAGTCTCACTAGCTGCTTCCACTACTTGTATCTTTAGCTGGGTTTGGTTAAACAGGAAGAGGTGGCGTAAGGTGACATGGTGACATTTCAACTTGCTGGGCACTTAACAGTGTGGTTACACTACAAGCTTTGCTGAGATATGATCCCAGTGCAAACCTGAGACCTCACTGATCCAATCACATTCTGATCCCAATGCGTTCTGCAAGCATTTACAGTACACCTAACTTGAGTTCTCCTTATCCAGATTGCATTTTAATGCCCAGGGTAAAGGGTGTAAAGACCTCGTTCCGGAGAGAGCTGTTCTCCTGGCTGAGGGAGTCAATCTGCTGCCGCAGTCTGCCACGTGTGGAGGCCCAGCGACTCTCTTTCCTCCTCAGCTCCTCCTGCAGAGAACTCAGCTGCTGCTTCAATGCCTGGCACAGACCACAAGGGCAGATTAAAGGGGGAGTTCCAGATGCTAAACAGGTCAGTTACATTTTATGTGACCTTTTTTGTCTTTGGTTTGGATTTTGAAATATGTCATTATACAGGTCAAACAATCAGTTTTGAATAATGGGGCAAAGTTCAGTTGTAGATGTGCAACACCCTTTTTTAGATTTACAACCAGTACAAGTCTCTTTTAAACCAGTGATGTGACTCACGTGAAAAATGTGTTCATGAGTTCAATCTGTCATTAATGACACTAATTATATTATGTGAACTGTTGCAACTAAACACTGTAAACGTTCTGGTTCATGCCTTAATGTGAACATCATTTTGGTGTGACAAAGTCAACTTATTATTGAATAGGTCCACAGTGCTTATGTGAACATGTAATAAATAAATGAAATAAAAATCACCCACAGCAACATTTTTGGCCACTTGGGGACAGCAGAAGGGTGACATGAACTTTTAAAAAATCATCCCACTTTTAGTTGATATGGCAGCAGACATGTAGCAAAATTAGTGTTCATTTGTCTTCATGTTCTAAGGAATGTGCCTGTAAAATAAATAAAAGTCAACTATCCTGAGACGGGAAATGGTTAACAAGAGAACTGGTGATGCAGTGTGAGTTTTATCTGTCTCACCTGGATCTCCTCTCGTTCCTTCTTGTCGGGCATGGCTCTGGCAGCTGATGCATGCTTCTCAAACAGTTTACGCTCCTTCTGAAGCTTCCTGTTCTCCTCTTTCTTGTACTCCTCAAACTTGGCCATTTCCTCTGCTTTCACCTGCTCAAACTCCAAACGCTCTTTGCTATAAAGTCAGCAAAGTAGATGTATTGTAAATCACTCGGGCAAAGAGAGACAAACTGATAGCTCATCAATATGTTCATCCAACAAAGGACATGGTAAAATAAAATAAAGAGTTTGATGTGCATTTAAAGAGACTGCACTTTAAAAAAGACCTTTGATTTCTGTTATATGATTGTGTGATCTGTAGCTGCTGGAATGATTAATTCACTAACTAAAAAAATATTAAAACTGCATAGAACAGGAAAACAGTCTGGCTATGAGTAGGAACCTCTGTTTCAAAAGATCATTTAAAGAGCTTTTAAACTAAATTCAAACCTGAGATCTTCCTGTTTTTTCTCATTCTCCTGCCTGAGTCTGGCGAGAGTAGCGTTCTCCTTCTTAAATCTCTCAATCTCAATCTCCAGCTCAGCCAGTCTCTCCCTCAGCTGTCTAGACTGGACCTGCTGGCCTGGGGATGAGGATACACATACACAAACATTAATGCACAGTGGGGATATTGTGATGGTCATTTTTCAATATTTCCTGAGATTATACAGACCAAACAACAAATACATCACTGTAAGTGAAAAATACAAATAAAACATACTGATAATTAAAGTAAGGATAAGTTGAAGCTGCTAATGTCATGCCTCCATGATAATCATATTCAAGTGAGAACAGACATGAAGACCTTCTAGCACTGTGAGAATAAACATACTGATGCAGGTTATGCTTAAAAATCTACAAGTGTTGGTCTCACCTGTGTCCCCCTCTGACCTTTTGGACTCAGGTGCAACAGACGCAAGAGGAGAGGGGAGAGGTGCACTCTGGGCCCCCAGCTTCAGCGAGGGGAACAACTTCGTCATGAGCTGGGAGGCAGGAGGAGGATCTAGCTTCAGTTTGGCTGAACTAGTGACTGTATCCTTATCCAGCTCCACAAATTTGCTCACTGGCACCTTCCCCAACAAAGTCTGCTCTGGATGTGAGATTCCACTTGCCTTGGAAACTGGACTGAATCCTCTACTGGGTGGTCCAACTGGAGGGTCCTCCAGGTCATTCCACGTGTCGTCATCATCAAACACAACTCTGCCCTGAGGCCCATCTTTCTCCTCTATCAGAGTGGACTCATCACCATTGCTGAGGACACCATCACTGTCATCATCACCTTGGGTCACATCTGAAGCTGAACCCCTACAAACATCATCGTCCTGATAGGACCGTTTATCATATGGTGGGTTAGACTGTGCAGGAAAGCAAATGGTACTGGGAAATGAAGGTGGTTTGACTGCCACTTCCTGGTCTTCAAATTCAGAGCCACCACAGGATGAGACATCACTGTCTTGTTTCTCTTTGTCCTCAATGCTCACTTTGTTTTTGAGTGGGTCATATCCTACCTTCGCTACAAATGCTTCTAAAGTCACAGAACTGCTTTTACATAGCAAATCATCACCACTATCAACACTACTGGGCCTCTGAAGCACCTCTTTTGGAGGTGACTTGATGGGGGTGGAGGAGAGCCGTCCCTGGTGAAGCCCCCTGGCAGCCTGCAGCTGTCGCTGCTGCTGGTCCATCTGAAGAAACTGCAGAGAAAAAGTAACACAAAGTAAAAAATGCATCCAGTGAACCATCAAACTGCATTTGAAATGAACAAAGGTCACTTCAATAGTAATCTGAGAATACATCCCTGACTCAGAACACAGCAATCACTAGTGAGTTGAATAAACCACCTTCATGACAAAGGAAGAGTTGGATGAGAAAGACAGCTCCTCGGCTGCCTGCTCCAGCAGCTCAAACTCTCCCAGCTCCACGCTTTCCAAATGCCGTTCACACTCCCAATGCTGGAGCTTCTCCTGGAATGACAACTCAAAGGTATCCTGTGGCACTCCATCTCCTTCTGCTCCTCCTCCATCTGACCCTGTTTTTCCTTCTGCTGATTCCACTCTTGAACCACAATTTTTCTCTTTAGGGGCATCACTGTCAGCTCTCCCCGGCCCTCCTAACATGCCCACCTGTTTGGTTACAGGGTTTAGCTGCTTGTTGTGAAACCCAGGTTTCCTTATAGTCTGAGCAGGCAGACCCACTTTTCTGTTGTTTGGCTCCATTCCTTGCCTCTGTTGATGTTGTTTGGTTTGTCTGCCCTCTGGGTCAGTTTGAACAGACAGTGGTACTTCTGTGTTCTGCCTTTGACTACCCAAAATCTTAGTCCATGCTGCCTTACTTTCAACTCTGGTGTCCTGTGATGGCAAAATTGAACTTCTTAGACGATTTTCTTTGTTGAGTACTGCAGTTTTACGCTGGACAGGAAGCCGCTGGACTCCATTTATGCCACCTTTCTGGATAGATGCAGGTGCTGAGTTACTGCAGGAGATTACTCTGGCCTGGGGTTGTGGTTGGGAATCCACCTCCATTTTTGGTAAAGAGGCTTTGCGATTGTTGGTAAATCTAGAAAGCCCCTGACCTCGCTTCAGGAAGGCCCTCTTGGGAGGGGCTTTGACAGCTCCATCATGGCTCTGTTAAGATGAGGAGACAATGTGAATGTAATGTGAATTTGGATGTTGGTTGCATTAAAAACTTAGTATTGTAGCAACTCTAAAGCCTAAGATCCCAAACCTCCTTGAATACACTAATATAGACTGCTTCTGCTTGCAACCACATTACTATGCGACAATAATAAACTGTGGCTCATAGTTAAATCATTGGCAATCGTAAAAAACTTAATCTACTGTGTTTAAAGCATATTGTTTGCCGATTTACTTTTTTTCCGTAAGGAAACTCTTGTTAAATTGTCCGACCTGTTGTTGCTGAACAGATTTCAGCCTCTGCTCCTCTAGTTGCAGCTGCTCCTCCAAAAGCTCCTCAAATGTCTGCTTCTGACGCCCTATACCCGGTTTTATAGGCCTGGAGAGTGTCACACATACACATATACACACACACACACACACACACACACACACACACACCAAATGTATGCATATGTTTGTCAACTAATACATTCATGTATAACAGTAAACGTTGAGAGCCACACATTCATGTTTCAGATTCATGACTAGCCTGATGGATCTCATTTTAAAATTGAATGCAATACTGGAGTTTTACCTGTCATGAAAGCCTTCATCTTCTTTTCTGCCGCTGTCTTCAGTCATAGCCACACCATTACTTGGTATTAACGTACCATCGTGCTCATGAAAATGGCTAGCATCAATACTCTGTTCCTGATCATCTCTTTTAGAGTTCCACACACCTGTATGGAAACACAGTTAGAATATCACACTAATACAAAAACTGTACAAATTCTGCGGTCACCCTATGTCTAAAAAACATTTTCATCACCCTCTTTCTCATTTTCCACCTCCTTATGATCTTGATGTCTTGGTACTTGGTCCTGTTCCCCTGCTGGTTACAGCTGTTGTTATTATTTTATACCTTGTCACAAATGAGCACATTTGCAGTTCTGGTCATTTCTCTCTCTTACCTCCTGTGCAGTGCAGAGATCCAGTCATCATTCCCAGCAGCCTCTGCTGCTCCTCCTGGAGGCAAAGCAGCTCCTCCAGCTGATGGGCTTTTAGCTGCTCCTGCATGTGCTGCTGCCATTTTTTCATCTGCACAAACACACAATATTATATTTAAATTAACCACATAGTTAACATTCTTATCCAGAATCTTAGAGTTTTCAATATTCTTTAAACAGATACTTAGCTTTTGATTGCCACACTACTCGCAGTGTGGACTGAACCTTTCAGTTTACACTGAAACCAATTATAATTACACCTATTTTAGGATAATCACCTTTATTGGCCAAGTATGTTACACACAAGGAATTTGTTTCTGGTACAGAACCGATGGCAGCCATCTGCGGCGCCACCTCAACCGATGGCTCTAACCATCGGGGGCAAGGGGGGGGGTTCAGTGTCTTGCCCAAGGACACTTCGACACGTGGACTGCAGGCACCGAGATTCAAACCTTCAACCTTCTGGTTGAGAGATGACTGCTCTACCCACCGCCCCACTGTCACCTCCCCTTTCAACATGCAAATATGTTTGTGGCTGCCCACAACAATTGTACACTGCACATACTAACAAATCAACATATTAAATATGCTACCTGACTGCAGTTCCCAGTTCCATCACTCTTTGAGCCCTTGCTGACATAAATAGTATTAGGGGACAAGACTAATAATAGCAGGGAGAGGCAAAGAATGAGTGTAGAAGTGTGTGGGGTTGAGCTATCTTCAGCTATTATGGTCAGGTGTTTCAGATAACATTATTGGAAAAAATCTCACTAAAAAGTTAAATTTTCTTTGTAGTGTTACTTGTCCTATTGCTATCATTACCAGATTGTGCATTCTGAAATACAGTATCTAAAAACAAAACATATTACAGTGACAGGCAATCTATTTGTCCCAGCTCCGGCATAAACCAGACCAATTATAAGAGATATCAGACCCTAAAATGCAATAATGGCCTTACCTGTTCTAGCTTCATCCTAAGAGGCAGGTCCTGTGATTTGCTTGCCAACTCTTCTAAACTGTCCAACTGTCCATCTGAAATTCTAGTAGGGACAGAGTAGACACTGTTCGCTGGCCTGTCAGTCCCAGTCCTCTCTCCTTCAGTCCGTACAAATCCATCCTCATCGAAGCTGCTACTGTCTGCTGAGGCGGGCAGGGGAGCGAAGTCGGAGGCGAATGAGTCGTCTGGCAGAAGGGACGGCGGTCCCATTGCAGAGATGTGCCGCAAAGAGCCGACCGAGTCCGTAGAGGGGTTGAGGATCACCCCGGCTCTGGAGCTACTTGGCATCCAGAGGGCCAAGAATTCCGCCTGGGAATACTGAAGCTCGGCTGGAGAGGACATGATGACGGCGCTGTCTCAAGCAGGGCTCACTAATCCAGGATTTAAACGACAGATTACAGTGACAGGTTAAGGTTTAGTCACACCGTGGATAAACACCGTCCAACAAGGTCTGGCGTTCAGATGACGCACAGACCCTAGAAAACTATAACGTTATATGGTAAAAGGGATGCATAGAAATAGCACTGGGTGGTTATTATAATAACAGCTAGCTAAACGTGTCATTCACTGCAGCAGTGTCGGTTTAAAATGGGCATTTGGTTGGTTAGTAACAGCAAACTACAAAAACGGAACAGCTCAATCACTTACAGGATGACAACGTTTGTGACATAACTCCATCTCACAATTCAGTTCAGTTTGATGGCGTTCATAATACTTTATAACTAGCTAGTTAACTAATTAGCGTTACATTTAAAAGGCTCCAAGTGATAGCGTTACTTGCCTGTTGTTGATAGGCTACAGGTTATTTGTTTGAGACACACAAAGTTTTTTCACTGTGGTGACAAGGCACAGAAACATACAACATTAATAAAAGTGTCAAAACGCACGGGTGTTTTTACCTATAACACAACAGGAACGTGGTTTTACTTAAGTAAAAACGTTGTTTATACAGACAAAAGTGTTGAAACCTACCGCCATATGAAAACAAAGCCCGCGAGAGTATAAAACCAACGACAACCCTGTTGTTGTATTATGGGTAATGTAGTTACAGTATTTTTAAAACGTCGTTTTCGCTCGTCTTATTTAAACTAGGTTCTTAGTTTCTTATAAACTATTGTCATATTAATTTTTATATTAACACGTTTATAAATATTAAAAATTACATATCGAATAACATTATTGGGAAAACCACTGACTTTACATAAAAAATAGCGTTCGCTTTGAACGATATCCGTTTCCACGACGCTTTGTAAATATATTTCACCTTAAAGGTTATTGAGTGAATACATTTGATAAACCCTGGCGTACCTTTGACATTTCAATTTGCATATTTATATTTCTCTGTGCTATATTACCTACCATTTTATTCTATCTTCGTTTTTAGAGTAAACGTTAGTGAAATCGTTTTAACAAATTTTATACTGATATTTTCAAACCGGATATGCTTTCTGACGATTGCGATTGGTCGATATGAAAATACGGAATTTCACGTTTTAGTAACTGAAACTGAGCTGGTTATTAGGATAATGGAAAAGATTTTATGTGATGTTCACGGTAAGTCGCTTTACAGCAATTGTTTGTTATGTTGTAAATGGTTAGATGTTGTATTTAGTTTACTGAAGTCAAAGTTACATTATACTTACCCCCGATGGTTAAAGCCATCGGTGTGAGTTGTCTGCCTCGGTTCTGTACCGGAACAAATTCCTTGTGTGTGTAACATACTTGGACAAATAAAGGTGATTATTATTATTATTAAACTTATAATTCCCGAAACGCTGTTATGTGCAAGACGAGACCGTTTATTTTGATGGCTCCAGCTTAGGTTAACCAAACCTGTTTTTCTACGCATTTCCCTTGCTAACTTATAGTCTGTATAAACTGTAACTCGTGTTATTTGTTTCTATATCTTCATACAGGCAGTGTGTGTATGTTAAAGACGGGCGTGAAAGATGGACCAAATAAAGGGAAAAGCTTCTACGTCTGCGTGGACAAGCAAGGCTGTAATTTCAGCCAGCTGGCCAGGTAAATAAGTAAACTTCACATCACCGGGCACAGATACAGTATGTCCTCACTGGTCCCCTGTGTTTAACACTGTGGGACGAATTTAGAGAGGGTATCAGAGGGCAGGATCGATCCTACCACAGAATTGTTATACATTATAAATCCTCATTATTGTAAAAATATACAATATATTAGAAAAAAATATACACACATTTTCCAAAAAGCTACTGCCTCAGAGCAGAGATGCATGAGATCACTCTCACATATCTCAACATTATTGCTAGGAGAGAAAACCTTTTTTGTACAGATTAATGTTCCTGTTTTTGTTCTGCATTATCCCTGTCATTTTCTCCAGTGTCTCACAATCCCACTGCCTCAGTCATGAAGATTCGGTGGTGGAGCTCCAAGCTCTTACCTACGTTCAACAACTACAGAGCTACAGGTGAGTGTTCAGTTGTTTTGTAGTCCAAAACAGGAAGGGTTTGTAACTCATAACCTGCAGCAATACCGTTGATTAAGCCCAATTCCTGCT